TCTTGAACTATCAAGCTACGTTTTGAGTTGAACCCTCCTTCGACGCCTTCAAGTGGGTAACGGTGCCGGATCCGAGGACAGTGACACTGAACTCGTGAGGTGGACGACGAAGAGCGTGGCCTTGCAATGTAATCACAGCAAGTGTGAGACGGCGTCAGTGTACTTCACTCGACCCAGTTTTGATCAAATACCTCAAATGTTCGCCCATATTCCACGCCTACATCTCAATATTCACAACCATAGAGAAGGAGAGATCGGATAGATACATGGTACATGCCAATTTCATGTCTACATTCCCAAACGAATAAATAGCGCACCTTTCAGAAGATATTGCATCCATATATCCTTTAGTTGTCGTGGATTTTATGTAGCGCTTTACAAGGGACGTGATTTTCACAAAGAACCTTATTCAAAATGCCCAGCAATTCGCTTTGGTTAAGCCTGCAGTTGGGTATGACTGACTGATAGCGGCAAATACGTCACAAATAATATGTTCGGTCTCTTTTTGTCAGTAATAGTTGCCAAAACTGCGAATCTCGGGATACTGTTGGGGTATTTAGAGGACGTAGCTGAAGCATATTTTTGTTAATCAAAAGATTACTTTGGCCCATGTTTGGAGACAAGCGCAAAAATACGATCGGACCGTTCTCGTATGACTGTCAGAATTGACTATTCTCTTCATCACGTAGTTTGTTTGTCGTCGAAACCGATTAGTCGGTCAAGTATTTGTGTTGGCACATGTTTCTGTCGTATCTTTTGTTTAATATGGGATTTTGACAGATTTGACTAATCCATTTGCTCAACGTGTAATTGAACACACGGCTCTAGGCGGGGGCCTCGTAGATCAGTTGGCTAGAAAGTCGGCTATACTAAAGCCTTCCCTTGCTTGGGTTCTAACTCCACTGAGTGGGTCAAATGAATACCTTTGGTTTTTGGAAAAAAACTAGTAAACCACGCAAGCTTATTCCTTCGGTGACGCTTCCTTTTCACCTCCTTGGATAAAACGCACATAGAAAAATTGCTTTCCTGGTAATTGTTCATGGTCGGGCTTTGCCTTATCCTTAACAAACTCCACCATTTTTTTTGAATTCTGCGTGTATACTAGACTAAAGATTTCTGACTGGGTGCTGGTCTCGGCCCTCTGCGCAGCATGCTCTTCATACCATCGGTTTGTGTGATTTTAGCGATTGCTGACAGGCTTAACTTCGGTGGCAAGTGTCTCCTCCCCAATTCCTGTCTCGGTCAACACGTCCCTTCACGCCCTCGCCAATGCCGCGGCTGCTACCACCACACGTATGAACACTGTAACAGCTTCGCAACTCACGCCTAGCGTCGTGGCCACGCCCGTCGTCGGTGGGCTAGTAGGTCAACAAC